GTTTTATGGGTGAGTGACCCTTGAAATAGTAATATTTGACTTTTTATGTAACTTACTCAGTTTTATTACAGTTCTCGTAACTCTTACAACACTGAAGTACGTTCTTGAAAAAGAAATTGTGTGCAATTGACAAATATCACGAGGCCATTCGATACCATCTGAAATCTTCAACAGCCTCTTATTGTATCCGATTACTATCGTCCCCGGTACTTCGAAGGTTTTTAAGGAAAAAACAACTCAAGAAGGGGAGCAATGACCTTTCCGGGAACCTATTTTTTTTCCTCCAGATTATCCTTAATTGTACAGTCGCCTGCGTTAATAGGAACTCAAACGTACAAAGGATCATCAAACCATTATTACGTCCCACTGTTGGCCACAGGTCTCCCGTCAGGCGAGGGTGTAGGCCATAGTCCGTTATGCTGGCCCAATGCTGGTTGGGGACTTTTTCCGACGGTTGTGAACCTTCATCGACGTGTAAGTTTCTTTACGATGTTTTCCTTGACCAAAAAGCTCATGATAAATTTCAAAATCCAAAAAAAACTGAGGTGCGAGCGCGAATTCGAACCCACTTCGAATTTTAAGGAATTAATAATATGTAATTACTCGCACCAGAGCTAGGTATGCTAAATGGAGTAGCTGAAGTAGCAGACGTTTTTATTATGCAATTTTTATTTTTTTTATTGACCTCACCTGATGGAAAGTGACGATGAGGTCGAAGATGTAGCATGCACACCTAAATAATGCCTATTCACTCTCACCTTGGAAAGGTCCAAGTTATAGCGTTCGAGGAATAAGTCCGCAGGCAGAGGATTCCACTTCCTAACCGCTCTCCATATAAATGTGGAAGCGGTACGCTGCGTACAAAACCTGGGAATGTCCACAACATAGGGATGAAACCCCATCCTACGTCTAGTCTCCCGATGATGGAAAGAAGAAAGCGGAATTAAATGAGCCAATTCCATCGCGCACTTTCCGTGACACATCCTGTAGAATACTGATAAGTAGGCAACCTACGGCGGTGCTCAAGGCTCTACAGCTTCGCCTCTACTAAATACGAGTCTCTTGGCACGACTTTCAATAGAATCCAAAGTGGCCCGTTGGTATTTGACAGAGCCGTTCCATAAGTGGCTGTAGTACTCCATACACGACTGGAGTTGTGCTTGGTACAGCTGAAGCAAATATCCCGGAGTGAAGTAATGCCTCACCTTGGAAAGGATGCCAAGCTTCCTAGCTGCATTTTTGGTCATTGATTCTATGTATCTGCCGAAGTTCAAATTGGACGACAGATCCATTCCAAATAGCTGGAGATGGTCACGAAAAATCAGAGACAGGTCAAAGGGACTCCATTTAGTGGAGAATAGACACGCATGCGTTTTGGTAACGTTAAATTTGACAAGATTGGCATCACCTAATAGGAGAATGCCTTAAATGCCAAATTCAAACGACTTACCATGTACTCGCGACAAGACTGGATTTCTTCTCCACTAACACTTGCATTGGTCACTTAGTATCATAACAAAACTAGACTTCTCTTCATAGTTAACTAGAAATGTTGAAATTAACCATTCTCAAACGTACGTCAGGCACTTAGAAATTAAAATAGGTATATGCCAAAACAAGGATTCGAACCGTCATTATTTCAATTTAAAAGCCATCGTTCTCCTATCAGGCCACCAACAACCTTTTCTAATTATTTGTAAGTCAAATATATTGAATTGACTAAAATTTTAATTACTCTGTCATATATATAATTAAATGCGACTGTACCTTCTCATTTGAATTTGTAATCGTATTTTATATTCTGAATAATGCTGTATAATGAGTATAAAAATAGTTGTTGTTTTTGTAATTTTCTATTTTTACTTGAATGCACAGTAATGGTGAATGGTGTTTAGTCTCAAAAACATAAGTACTTTATGTTCATGCAATAAGAGCTAAAAAGACGTTACACGTTTCGCTTCCGACGCGACTATAATGAAACTCGCACTGATTCAAAACTATTTATTGTTATAATTATTAATACAAAGATCGAACACTCAGAAAAAATTCCTTCGATCCGGTCGGATTCGAACCGACGTCTTCTTGCATACCGTGGCAGACGCTATACCAACTAAGCCACGGAACGAACCAACGGACCTCACGAATTTTTCTATGTGCTTGCGTCGTGTCTTTGTACTTGGTCTTTCAACGACTTTTTAGTCGTAGCGCCATCTATGAGAAATCTATGACAGATTTATCACCCAGTTAGTACCTTTACAGCTACCAGTCCTGGCGAGAGATGTCGCTATTCACTGTATTAATTAAATTTTTATTGAATTGATATTCAATTATTTTTTGTGAAATTACTCCACTAGTTTGTTATAATTATTAATACAAAGATCGAACACTCAGAAAAAATTTATTGTTCTTAAAAACTCTCTTTAGACTAAGTTTAGATGACAATAACTTTTTTACAAAAAAAACCGACCCGAAAAGCTCGTAGATTTGGCAAGCTTTATTGAAATCGGTTATCAGAAAGTGCGCGAAACTGGAGTCATCCCCTAGTTTGCCACCCTTAGAAGTGGAATATTTCCTTTCAATTTAAATGGGAACAAAACTGAGGTACTTTTTTCCCCCAAAAAAAATGAATCATCGAAACCGGTTCACAAATGCCGAAGTAACATACACACAAAAAATAGAACTGTAGAATTGAGAACCTACTCCTTTTTTTGAAAGTCGATTAAAAGTTTAACGCGCGTCTATATATTAGATGCAACAAACCGGCGGGAATCGTATTATATGAATCATATGTACCTGTAGGTACAGTCAAGAGCAGATTAAGGTTTGAACTTTGGACTTTGGACCGTTTTCTTATTACAAACGACACATATTAAATCTTAAGTATCAAACTTGCCGTGTTCTTGAAAGGTCAATGCATAGTAATAAAAATAATCTCAGTACAGAGTACTAAAAAATTCGACCTCAAAAGTACGTGGAATTACGTCTATTTGCTAAGTTTTATTGAAATATCCCCTAGTTCGCTACTATACAGGACTTGACACTGGAGATAATAAAAAATCGGTTCTCACTTTACTCAAAGTATATTGAGAGAAAAACGCCTTGAATTGGAGAAATAGCAAAATCAACCATTAAAGTAATTGCTCCTAAATTAATGTTAGGAGCTATTTATGAAAATTAATCTTCATGTGTGAACAGCCACCCTTCGAGGTGGACGATTTTCTTCAAAATGAAATAAGACCACTATGGAAGTACCCCCTTTCCAACAAAAAAGAATCATGAAAATCGGTTCACAAATACCGGAGTTATCGCGTAAGATACATACAAAAAAAAAGAACATACAGTCGAATTGAGAACGTCCTCCTTTTTTGAAGTCTGTTAAAAATATACTGTAAGCGCATTTGGGCACTAAGTCCGATTCAAATCCGAGGAAATACGAATATCATTACGAATGTCATTTTATCGCTAGTTGTACACGAACCTACGAACTAGCGATAAAATGACACTTGGGACACCTGTGACATTTCCAACCACGTCATTTCTCGAATTCGGACGTAGTGCACAAACGCTATAAGCAAACAGAAAGTTTTACGAAACTAAAAAAGTTTTATGTGTATAATATATTTTTATTAAATCAACTGTCTATTTAAAGTTTCATGCGTCTGAAACAATTATCGAAACTCTCTCCATTGCTTCAAACACCTCTTTTACGCCTCAGACACCTCCTTTCATTGCGAATGTTCGCCATGCTGATTCATTTTTCAATGAAAGACTATGTTTGAGATAAGGTCATAAAAAATGTGAAGGAAAATTTAAAATTGGAAAATTCAGGTTTTTACTTGTAAATAAACGTAATTTCAAAATTATAACTGGACAGTGTTTCTGTTTAGTTCATAGTCCGTCACGCTGGCCCAATTGGAAACTTCACATGTTTACCGAGGGTTGTGCTCATTTAAACCATTTATTTACCACACACAGTAATACGTACAGAACATAATAATATAACAATATTGTGGGAACAACAAGAGTGCGTGGAAGGAACAGGCTCAGTATAATTCTTGGGGCTGTGTGCCTCGCGGTACTGATTTTCAGCCTGACTTTGTTGACACATCGTTTTTCAACATAATCCAATTCAACGATACCATCGCCACGATAAACATCGAATACTAATAAATATATCGGCTGAATTCATTAATAACATTTAATAGATTAATTTAAAAAAAAATGGTATGACAAATATAAGCCAGAAAATATTCTCAGTTACACTTACGCTGGCTCGCTGTCTGCTCTGTCTCTAATAAATTAAATAACATTCTTCCCGTTTTGCTCATACGAAGTTGTCCCGTTACAAGAAGGAGTTACATTACTTTTTGTCGCTCTAATAATTTTCTTTTCGTGCTCATCATTACTTACAAATAAATGGACGACGGGTCTAATACAAAAACCACGAAAAAAATTTACCAAGTCAACCTATTTAAACGTAGTGACATGTAAAGGAATATGAAATAGCTAAAACGTTGAATTTAAATTGTAATGTCATCGCAGTACTGTCTAATTTTGCTTGCTTCGCTGTCAGTCGAACAAACGTAGACTAAAGCGTGAATGACGCTCTGTATACGATTTTAACGCCCTATAAGTTCGGACACTTTTTAGCGCGGACCCGACGTCCATATAATTGTAAGTCAATGGTGCTCATGGTAAATTTCAAATTAAATTTCGCTAGCCCGGATTCGAATCCACTGTCTATGCTTGGTAGGTTAAACCATAGACTACCATTTAAATAAATCAAAACACTAAATTAGATTATTACAAAGTGAAACTTTATTATAACACAAACCAAACTTTACATAATTTAATATTTTGTCTTACAGACAAAAGTGTACTTATTGTTTTTTTTTTCCAAATAAATAAATATTACAAAAATTATAGATCTACTCGTAGTTAAAAGTAAACAAAGCCTATTATGACCACGACTTTATATGGGTAAACTTGTTCTTTATCTGAAGTAGCCACCAGTCTGTTGGTCACCGGAGTCTCCCAGAACACGTACTGAAAGCTCAAAAGCGAGAAGTTACGTCCATGGCCCTTGAGGTCCAAAACTTTGGCAAAAATCTTGTACGAAGCTTTAGCACGAGTTAAGGTTGACGAATTGGACGACTTCGTTGTGATTTGCACTGGATGAAGAGGCTCCGGATTGAATTCCCGGTAGGTCCAATTTGGGATATGAACCTTTCTATATTTATTCTGGCTATTATAGGATTTGAGACCAAATTGGTGTAATGTCTGGCATTATTATTATTAGCTTAGATTTTAATTCAAATTGGAATTGATCCGATCGGGTAGCCCACCCGAGTCTCGAAATCAGAAGGGTTTCCAAGCGAGAAGATGATCCTGATTCCTAGTATATATTTCTAAGTTATGAATTAAATAAACTATTGTTCCGATTTGAAATGTCAAAAGTTTCCGATCCGCCAGCTATGAATGGCAATTATGCGCCTCGACTCGGAAAAGACGCAGTTTCCGATCTGAAGAAGCAATCAAAATCAAGCTGCAGGTTCCATCCCATTCTAGCTATCGTCTCAATTTCCATAGACGTTAGCTGAGAGTTTTGCCTGTAGCCAATATCCGGACTACTATTTGACTGTGAGACCAGCACGTTCTTTGGAGGTTGTTGGCAGAGAGCATGAATATGATATCAGTAGGTGTGTGCTACAGCTCTGCACTGTGAGAAATTTTATGTGGCCATGTACAGGCTGATTTGATGTATCATCAGTCAATAGTATATCTACTAACTCTATATGAATCTCCTACGACGTTAGCTGCATTATTTCTTTGGAAGAAATTACTTTTCGGCTCCAGTCCCGTCTCTCCTGTTATACTGTTGACAGCCGTCAAAACATCATTCGTCTTTTTTCCTCCTTTGTGACCTAAGGTTAGGTTGTATCTGGTAATTTCTATACCTAAATTTTTTGTACTAAAGCTACGACCTAGGGATTTAGATCGTTTGACGCTGAATTTGTCTTTAGGCATCTTAATGTCGTATATTGGATTTATAATGCCCGTGTAATTGTTGTTTAAAGTTGTTTGCAGATTAAGACGGGAGTTGACATGTTCTAGGTAGTCTAAATCTTGTTCCAGGTCTTGTAGTCTTTTTGGAGGTAGGTAGTCTGAGTAGCGCTTTACCATCTGTGAACAAGTGTACACCGTGTTATCAAGACACATACATTGCAATGTTGGATATTACTGTTCTCCCCCTCCCTAGCCTCCCCACTAAAGAGATTTCTTCAAAATGAACAGAACATATGCACGTAAAATATTAATTGGCTTACAATATAACAAGGCTTTTTACAATAAGATTCTGGAGCACATATTAAGGTTATCATTTCCTAAATTTAAAACCTACAATAAAAATATTTTAATTGAAGTCTTATTACAAAATTGAGGACTATGTATTAGGTATAGATGTATGGAAAGACGACATGGCTCTAGATTCCACACAAATTTGATTCCAAGTGTATTCCATAGCATTTAAGTTTATTTGAAAAGAGCAATCCCTAGAGTTTTTTGCTTGTTCTTCTCGGGGAAGTCAGCGTAGTGAAAAAAGGAGTAGCTTAAAAGCCACGTTTTCAAGTGTAAATTTATTTTACCTATCAAATAAATGATTACCATGACTTTGATTTGGCTTGTGCAAATTTATTCGCGGTGAAACTCGACCGTGTAGACGGGACTTAAGAAAACGAAACTGGACCAAAATTCACCATGCTACTATATGTATTACGGTTGCAGCGCGTATCTGAGTGTTAGTTTACAATATACCATACACACCTTCTCCCTACTCGCGTGTCTAGGCAGCGGTGGTGGCTGCGGCGGTTGCAACGGTTGCGGTGCTTCATCCCCCGACATGTAGTCGGGTGGCCGCGCGCGGTACTTCTGCGGAGACTCCACTGTTGGTCCTTGAGCCTCCGGAAGACGCCACGAACTGTGTAATGTGTTTATCACATTCATGACGATCACGTCAACTCACGGGTCACATGTACAGTCAAGAGTTTGGTAGGCGTTGGACTGTTGTTATTGCAAGCGACATAGAGTCGAATTTTCAAGTCAAAATTACGCCCCATATAAAACATGTCAGTACAAAAATATTGACCACTTGCCACCTCGAACACTTGCAACTAAAAACTATAAAAGTAACTTAAAACTTACCTAGTAGATCTTTCACTACTCCTAGAGCGGGCAGCTCTAGCCAATCTGTGTAATGCAAATAGAGCACCTTCACTGGCATTCCCTAAGTAGGTACATAGCTCTTGTAATACCTAAGGACAATAATAAATTATCATTTTTCAAATACGAACTAACCGATGCGTTAAAGAGACTACCTCAGGCTGTAGTTCTTGTTCCAACATTGTAATATATTAAAATGATTTATGTTTCATTTCTTAAAACACAATGGAACTCACTGCTTATCATCAAAATTTTTTTATTAAAAAATAAACAAATAGGTAGTAAATGAAGTTAAGTAGTCACACAAGGTTCCTTCCTTATTCCTGTTTTATTTATCATATTTGCGAAAATAATTACAAAAATTAACATAGAATTTGTAGTGCTTAAATAAGGGACTCACAGTAAATCTTCCCGAATGCAAAAGAGCTGGAATCAATTCTCCCAAAGCAAGATGCAGACCCTGGTTTCCTGATCGAATGGCCAAGAGATTCAGGGGGGCAGTTTGTCCTACCAGCCATTCGTCTTCTATTGACCATACTGTATCTTCAGTATCTGATGCGCCTGATTCTTCCACTGGATACAACAAAATAATTATATTTATAAACAGAGGTACATATCACTAAGTAACGAAATACATTAATCAGCGATTTGTGATTAAAAGTATTTATATTTTACTTACCACATAAAGCTTCTTTAACACCATTAATAAAGTCCAAAGTCTCCAAAATACTAGGCCTGCTCATAGCTTCCTTATTCCTTATCGTAGACCCAGCAGATCTTGGTCGCCTTCTCATCTCTTTGATGTTTTCCACTGGCTCTGTATATACCAGGCTCTTTAGGGTATGGTACTTGCGCCGCATAGTTTTAGTATCAGATTGATTGGTGATGGAGATTTCTGGAAATCCGTAGGAGGTTGCGGGTCTGCTGCGACGAGATTTCCTACGGACGACTCTTGGAAGGTTGTCTAAAGCTGAATAATAATAATAATAAAGTAAGTAAAGTCGACAAATTTGATTAATTTGGCTAAACATCACATTGCGAGAGCACAATCCAAATACTTACTTGGATTTGCCTTAAAATTTAAAGAAAGAACCATTGACTTACAAACAAATGGACGACGGGTCTAATACAAAAACCACGAAAAAAATGTCCCAAGTCAACCTATATAAACGTAGTGACATGTAAATGAATATGAAAAAGCTAATACGTTGAATTTAAATTGTAATGTCATCGCAGTACTGTCTAATTTTACTTGCTTCGCTGTCAATCGAACAAACGAAGACTAAAGCGTGAATGACGCTCTGTATACGATTTTAACGCCCTATAAGTTCGGACACTTTTTAGCACGGACCCGACGTCCATATAATTGTAAGTCAATGGAAAGAACAAATCGTGGATATACTTGATTGTTTTCGCAGAAATATATTTTTTTTCTATAATGTAGACGGGACAAACAAGTCTTGCATAATGTCACGCAGGTATGAGTGACAGAGACGACGTCCTACAAAGCCGAAATCAGCTATCTTTTTCTAAAGCTCAATGCTTGCCATGGTGCAAAGGGCTTGGTTTAATTCGTACATTTGTCAATGTTAATACTATAAAAAATAATAAATTTACTCACAACTGAGTTCCCTGATGTCTTGCACGGAAGTAGATGGTATGATGTCAGGTTTGCTGGTCCTCCAGTAATTGCCATTTTTAGCGCTTTTCAAGATTTCGTCTGTGCTCTCGTGCCGTGCCATCTTCTTGGGTTTTGGGCTGTTGACAAATTTATTTAACTTATAAATTTAATTCCGACTTCCCCTTTCCATCATTAGGCGACAAGACACAGGCTGGGGTTCCAATGCGTTGTGGATCGAAAGATTCGCACAAAGCGTTACGCTTCTACTTTTATATTTTGAACGCCTATACAGACTGCAGACTTATTCCCTGAACGCTATACCTTGGCCTTTTCAAGGCGAGAATGAATAATGACCATTTTGGTGTGCATGCTCGATCGTCGACCTTCACATGAGACAGAGGTCAAATGCACACTTATTATTTTATTTAAAAAAAATTACATCATTATTGTGTCATGTGTGTCAACAAGGTGTCAACCCATCCATGACGTTCCTCTGATACTGCAGACTCTTTAAAAAAGATTAATATACTATCAAATTGTTAATCGTCAGAGAGAAAGAAATATATGTATAAATAATATATAAATAATAGACTTAGACAACATCACCATACATTGCTCTGATCTCAGAGTAAGTAACGAAAGCACTTATGTTATGGAAATTGGAAACAACGACGGTACCACAATCACCCAGACTCGAGACAATATAGAAAAGTTAGTTTCTACATTGAACCTGAAGCCTCAGAGATAGCAACACTATGAACAACGGTTTGCAAACCACTCGGCCACAGAGGCCGGCAATATTCGCATATATTAATCTAGGCGGCCGTAATTATTAGAAGGGCAAATAAAAACCAGGCTCAAGGCAATAAAAAGTTGGTAAGCCTTGTTACACAACCAGAGCTATTCGTGTAAAAGATATATTCGCGATTCTTTTTCGAAATGCGTTCATTGCTTGTTAATAATATAAAAATCATAACTTCGGCAAACGTATGCTTCGTGCTTTCCAGATTGGGAAATAGGTGCTTCGTATTTCCTGCGATAAGGGTTAAGAAGCGCTCATCGACAGTGTAATATACATAATAATAACACATTATTAAGATGGAACACGTAAGAAAAAAATCATTCGATCCGGCTGGATTGGAACCAGCGTCTTCCAGCAAACCATGCTAGACGCTATGCCAACTAAGCCACGGAACGAACCATTGAACCTTACGAATTTTTCTATGTGCTGTTCTTTGTTCTTGGTTTTTAACGACTTCTTTACCGTAGAGCCGTCTGTGAGAAATCTATTTCTTCAAGCCGTTAAGAATTCGTCCAGGGAAGTACTGCCACCTTGCCTATTTCTGCCGCCAAGCAGAAATGAGAGCGTTACTGCGTTCCGGTTTTGAAAGGTAATTGTGCTGGTGAAATTACAGGGATTTGTCAACTTATACACACATCAAAAAAAGTTAGCGATCAATAGCATAAGCTCCTATAATTCTTTAAATTTAACTTTATCAAGAAAAAATCTATGTTGTATGCTTTCTTTAAATAGGAATACCCTGTTTGAAATTAAAATATAAAACTATTTTTTATTAATTATTTTAAAAAATTGAGCCATTAATCATAATGTAATAGTGATAGAAATTTCATAGAAAGAAAAAGACTGTTTAATTAAACTTAAACAACAATTTATTATTAAAAGGTGTGAATTAAATATAAAATAACTCCTCCCCTGGCTCGAATACATGCGAAGATCCTCCTGGGCATGCTGAGGATCAAGTTATCCAGCATTTCCTGGGGTAACCTATCCCATTCTTCAATAGCGGCTTCCCTGAGCTCTGGAACTATCTGGGGACGTGGCTCACGGTTCCATATTGCTCGTTTAAGAGCATCCCACGCGTGCTCTATTGGGTTTAAGTCGGGCGAGCCGGCAGGCCAGTCTAATCGTGTGATATCGTATTCTTGAAGAGCAGCATTGACTCGTTGAGCTCGATGTGCGGGCGCATTATCATCGACCAGTACAAATTGGTGCCCATGGTTTACTCGGAATGGTCTGACAATATCATCAATAGCAACTGTTTTGTACATGTCTGCTGTCACGAAGCCCCGATACGGGATCAAAGGCGTTCTAGCTCCAATCATAATGCCACCCCAAAAGGACACCGATTTTCCGCCTTGCTGAACTGTTCCAGTGGCAGTTCTTTGTCTTTCACGGTCGCCTGGTCTTCTCCAGACACGGACACGTCGGTTATCTGGATGAGTGCTGATTCGGGATTCGTCAACGAAGAGACGGTTTTGCCAAATGTTTTCGTCCTCACCTTCTTCATTTTGCCGAAGTCTAGCCCACTGCAATCTTCGTTGTTGACGTTGCCGGGAATTGAGCGGAGCTCGCCAAGACCTCCGTGCTCGTAATCCAGCCTGGTGCAAGCAATTGCGAACGGTCGGCGTGCTAACTTCAAGCCCAGAGGCGGCCCTGACTTCTGCTTTTATTTTAGTGGCGTTGATTGTTGGATCACGGGCTGCCAGCAATCTAATATAGCGCTTTTGGGCAGCTGTCAAAACAGTTGGGCGACCGCTGCGGGGTCGGTCAGCTAAATTCCCCATTCCGTGATACCTCTGCAACGTAGCCACGACACAGGATTGGGATATAGCAAGTCTGCGTGCTATTACTCTCGTGGTGTATCCTTCTTCCCTCAAAGTTACTATTCTAGCTCGTAAAACCTCTGATAATCCTCTTGGCATTTTTTCAATCGCTTATAATTGACTAAATCAGATTTCTGAATGAGCGTAAGCTAGGACTGAAAACCTTTTTATATGAAAAAACAATTGAACGGGGTCATTGTTTTATGTTCTAATTTATTTTTAAATAAAGAATCTAAAAAGAAGAAAAAATAATAATATAATCTACAGTAACAAAAAAGATTTCAGTTTTTCGAAGTGATCGCAAACTTTTTTTGATGTGTGTATATCAGCGTGACGGGCACAATGATAGTGCCCCAGAGATCTTTGCGATTTAAAGCGTGGCACTGCAACTGTTATGGACAGGCGTGTCGCTTACCACCATACGCATGACTTGTTCGTCCCATAACTTTGTATCACAAAAAAAATTTTGGATTTTGTGATACGTACAAAATATTATAGTAATTTTAAAGGCAGCATGATTGAGGATAAGTACAAATCTGTAGGGTGAAAGTTTGATGACTTATTATAACATAGATGAGAACGCACAAGAAATTGTTTGGCTGAAATTGGCTCATTCACTCACTCTCTTAAATGCCAAGCTTCAACGCCCTCATCTCTTTTGTTCTAAAGAAAATCGGTCTAACTTTGAATTTCTGTCAGTTTATACAGTATATCTGCTGGTCATTCTTGAAAGCTGGACGCGACACCTACCTCAGTACGTTGAAAAGTAAAGCTGTCAAAGTATCAAAAACCTCCAATCAAAGACATTGACTTACAATTATATGGACGTCGGGTCCGCGCTAAAAAGTGTCCGAACTTATAGGACGTTAAAATCGTATACAGAGCGTCATTCACGCTTTAGTCTTCGTTTGTTCGACTGACAGCGAAGCAAGCAAAATTAGACAGTACTGCGATGGCATTCAAAGTCAAAGTCAAAGTCAAAGATGATTTATTCCATAGGTAAAATAAATTTACACTTGAAAACGTCACATTTAAGGTACTGCTCGTTCACTACGCTGACCTCCCTGAGAAGAACGAGCAAGAAACTCTAGGGATTGCTCTTTTCAAATAAACTTAAATGCTATGGAATACATTTTGAATCAAATTTGTGTGGATTCTGGAGCCATGTCGTCTTTCCATACATCTTTATCTAACACGTAGTCTTCAATTTTGTAATATGATTTTTCGATCAAAATATTTTTAATGTAGTTTTTAAACTTAGGATTACAATTTGAATTCAACGTTTTGGCTTTTTCATATTCCTTTACATGTCACTACGTTTAAATAGGTTGACTTGGGACATTTTGTTCGTGGTTTTTGTATTAGACCCGTCCATTCATTTGTAAGTCAATGATTAAAGACCACTGTTTTGACATTGTTTTCAGATAACACTTCGTGCATGTACACAATTACATTCGCCTTCCTTCCCAACGTTCTTTAAACTAAACCAGCAATGTATTGCACAACGCAGTCGATTCGCTTCATTCGCAATTTCATTTAGGAGCTAGTGTAATACAGGCAATGTAGATCGTTATCGTGAAAGTTTGCCGTGAACGTGTCTGAAATGGTTAAAACGGCGCCAAATTTGTCTTCTTTTTAACGCTGCGCGAGTTTTATGTGCATTTATATCGGCTACAGTTGAAAAATAAAATACCGTTATAACGACTTTCAGATTGCCTTTAGCATAACGGAAATTAGAGTTATTGGCCCGGTTATATACAAGTACTTGGATTGCGGCTCAAAGAAATAAATTTTCATAGTAAATAAAAGTATAATAGAGAAAACATTAGTATTCAGACTTAGGTAAACAGATAGAAGGCTTGGAAATATGGGCTTATCGACGAAAGTTGAAAATATCCATTCACAAACGACGTCGTATTACAGATAATACTCAACGGCTTGGAACTTCTGAAAACAATGAAACGGAGAAAGCTACAATACTTCGGCCACAACATGCGGAGTGAGAAAAAATCCAGGGCTGCAGAAGAACTGGCCATATACAAAAGCCATGGCTCCAAATTCTTGCCGAAATATTACAACATTAGTACCACAGAACTCTTCCGAGCAGCTATTTGAATTATCCAAGTTACTACAATGATAGCCAACCTCCGATAGGACATAGTACTCAAAAATATATAGATATACTTACTTAGTAATAACACCTTTCTTTTGAATTAACAATTAGAAATGAGGTAAATAAACAAACAAGAAATAGACTCCTGGACACGAAGTCGAGCCACCTTGCATTTTCAGTATTAATTGGCCTAAGCTTAAACAGTGTTTGATTGATCGAAAACTACCAAGCTATTTTGAAATTGGTTTTGCGGCCCTACGGTCTGCAGATGGTACAGCGGTTGTGGTTGTTCTGGCCTCATCCGCGTCGACTGCTCTACGTCTGTCAGCCGCCAGAAGGGGGCGATGTACTACAGGGGGAAGCAAGCGCTCCCCTATTGCCTCAAGTCGGGCGGTCACC